TTTTGTTCAATACATGGGCCAATCAAAATATCGTACAGCCACGCCTTCCCGAGATGCACTACTTTAATCCTGATTCGATGAAATCTGCAGACCGACAAATCTTTGTCAAGTGGTACGAGGAGCACCAAAATGATCAATTTGATTTTCAGCATGAGATCGTTAAATACTGCCGGTCTAATGTTGACATTCTTCGTCTTAGCTTCCGGTCCCTCTTCATGGAGATGACTGCTGACGAGTCAACACCAGGGATCGACCAGTTCCAGCATTGCATAACCATTGCCTCTGCCTGCAATTTGGTGTACCGAAGCAAATACTTACAGCCAGACACAATAGCTATCATCCCACCCAACGGTTATCCCTCCAACGACCGCCGGTCCATCAAAGCTCTCCAGTGGTTGAAATGGATGGCTGATGAAACAGGTCACTTTATCCAGCACGCAGCCAACAAGGGGGAAAAACGTATCGGTAACTACGAGGTGGACGGTTTCTACGAGGCTGATGGGATGAAGACCATTACCCTCTGTCATGACCTTTTACAAAGGTCACGGCGCAGAAAAATGTCAAGATGGCGGCGGCCGAGTCTGCAAGTGTATCAGCACGAGACGTGTCTAGCGAAACGGTTGAAAATACGAAGCATATTCTCGGGACCTACGGAGCGCCAGTTGTTGGTTGCAAGGAGGAACTGACGGCAAGACTGCACACAATAGAAAACAATCCTGTTCTGGCAAACAAATTGAAAAAACGTGAAAATCTGAAGAAATCGTCCGACGTCAAGTTTCCAAGACTGGACTGGGATGCACCACACTCAAATGAAAACTGGCAGACGTTTGATCTTGGGAAATTTCCCCTTGTTAACGTTTCAGATGAGGTTATAGCCGACCACTTGAAAAACGTCCGTGGAATAAAAGCTCAGAGACTGAAAGGATCGCGAATGTACTACTCTCGTAAGGTCATGTGTCCTCCCAAAGCTATAACAGTAGTAAATAACGCAGGACCAGGAGATGACAACGGCAGTGGGTTGAAGTTGGGAACGTACATCCGGAGTCAGGTGAGAAGAAGTTACAGAGGAGAAGCCCAAGTACACATATTTTTCCCAGCTAA